ACTAAGATGTGCAGCGATAACGACAAAAGTAATCAAAGCAAAAACAATGCAAACGATCTCAGAGAAAAAGTATGAACTGAACAGAAGATGTAAACCACTTTAACAAAACTTACTTTTTGACAACTTTTACATTACGCTTAGACCGAGTATGCGTCTGCACCTGCTGGGATACTGCTGATGCTGGGTCAACAGTGGGCTCACTGGTTGCCGCAACAACTGCAATCTCTGTACCGGGAAATTTGTGTATTGCCGCAGATAGTTCATCGTTGCAGGAGATCCGTAAACGGTTGCCACTCGGTGTCTTAATGTAAACATTGCCATCCATAGTCAACACACTGGAAACTCCAAAATGATTACGTGCAGAGTGGAACAAGGCTTGTCGAGTCTTAGTGAGAAACTCTCTCAAAACAAGTGAAGAGCCTTTGTGTTTAGACTTGCTTTTCCACACAGATGACCGAAGGCTATAGTGGGCAAAACGAATAACCACTGGCCTATTACGACCCTCTGTTATTGATCCAAGTCGATGACATATTTTTAAAGAACTTGAATCCAGGTCTGTGGCACCCAAATGTTTCTGGAGCAATGTTATCACAGTAGAATTCAAGTCCCTTATTATCGTTTTCTGGAACACCGCAAAGAAGAAGATGTTTGCTTCGATGCCTAGCTTCATGCTGGTCGAGAGATTTTAATATCTCACCGATCTGTTGCCTCAGAAGTGACAGGATACTCCAAACAATCTCCTTGAAAGCCTTAAACTCTTACTGTATCTGTGGGACCTTCTCCTTATCTGCAGACGATTTTAGCTGGGTTTCAAACTGCTGCATCCTTTGCATCAAGGTGGCTTCCAGTGATTTCTGGGTTTTGAGTACCGCTGCAACACTGCTCATGGTGAAGTGTAGTTAAAATTGAAATTTGTGCAAACAACTGTGAGTGATGTGATGGCAGGTTAATGCTGGTCAGTTCCTCAAATTGACATCACACAAAGTGGCCTACAATGTATGAGGTAACCAAGGATAATTATTAACTTATTAATGCAAAATTTATGAAAAATACTTTGTAATATTATTTTTAAAATAAATTTAAATGTGGGAGTAATGTAGCTTTATTTTACGCCTACCGCCAAAAAAAAAATTTATATTGTTATTTCTAGGGGCCTGAGGTTTTCGAATACCTCACGCTATTTTTTTTTAATATTGTTATTACCAATGCAAAAGAAAAAGAAAGAGCGCGAGGCATTTGAATACCTCAGGCGGCTAGAAATAACAAAATAAAATCGTAAGCGTTAGCGTTTTCCAAAGCATTTCCGTTAGGCGATTGGCCCCCTGTTCGTTGGTTCGCCAACTACTCTAAATAGAGATCGTAAAAAAAGGTCTGCATAGTCCCAAAATCTAAAATATGAATAATAATCTTGCATCTTGGTGCTTTCCAAACGCACAAAAGTCGCTTTAGTAGTCGGTGCAATACTTTTAACGGAGAATAAAAAAAAAAGCACGTTTGAACAAAGGAATGGCTGAAACAACGAACAAAATATACTCATTTAAAATTGCTGCAATGCATTCAGACCTGTAAACCACCTGTTTCTCTTTAGTTTTCTCTTTAAACAGCAAGATAAATTCTTGCCAAAACTCTTTATGATCGCCGAACGACATGTTATTTTACTCGTTCATGATACAAACAACACAAATGCAGGCCAATTATGCTCGCTAATTGTGATATTGTTTTGAGGTCAATTTCACATTACTCAATATGCTCTCCGAAAAATGCGATATCAAAATGACATCAACTTTAAAATGATATCAACTTAAATGCGTATTACGTTCAACTTTTTGACATAAAACAGTATCGCATAAACGTCAAAAAAGTGATACAGACGTGATACAGAATTAACAAGTTAAGAGGTCGTTCTGCGTGCACGCACTACAAATGACTGACAAGTTCACCGATAAATCTGTGAAAGCACACACACGTACGGATTTGTATGGCGCGGCTGGGGTGCGGCCCGGTGCTCGCGTCTCTCGGCGGCGAGCGCCGCGCCGTGCCGCGAGCCGCACTCACCAATACATTCACACGCGGATTTGTCCGCGGACTTGTCGCCAGCGAGAAATCCGGCGGATGGGCGCGCCTGTGAATGGTAGCCTTAAGATAAACATTTTGTTCATTCATCGAGAACTGTTCATTCAAATATCGTTCATTCTTATAATGTCCATGCCTAACTTTTGTCTTTGTGTACTCTCGAACAAGTGCATAGTTACATAAAAAATGTTAGCGTGAGAGCGTTTTTTTATTTATCTGACGTGATTTTGGAAGTATGCGTTTATAGCAACAAAACGCTCGTGTTTGAGTGAGTATTGCATATTCCCGTTAGTGTGCTATACGAGTGTAGGGCATCCCCCGCTAAAAATGGCGAAAAATTTTGTTCGGCAATGAACTGTATGGCATCGCCATTGGTATATATATGCTCTAAGACATACAATACCAAAATTTCAGTCCTGTAACTCTTTCCGTTTACGATCTAGAGACTTGTGACATACGGACAGACAGACCGATAAAACAGTGACAGCAGTAGGTTTCCATCTTTTACCCTTTGGGTACGGAACTTTAATAATTAATAATAATTCTTAATTTCTCACCATAATCAGTTTCTTATTCCATTAAAAACACTAAGTAAAAAGGTCACTTATCTAATTATGGCTGGCTGACACCTGAACTAGGAAAAAACCCGTGTCTCAGGTTATCAGCCCTCCACTCTTTAAATGTAATGTAATACAACACAGTTTACTGTAATTTGAACATATTGATTAATATTATTTACTAAAAAACTAATTTATTTGACAATTATAATATTGGATTTGAGGGTAGGTAGTGTGAATACGAGTCTTTGATATGCGTGAACAAGAAAGGTGCATGCATAGACTAATATTGTATATAGGGTAGGTGCATGACTGTTTTTACTTACACGTTGTGTATTGATAAAAGTGCATAACTCAAGGACGTTGTCGTGTGGGTCAAAGCAAAAGTGATTAGCGTGTAATACTGTAAGTATTACATAGTTAAAAATGAATTAAATTGAAAAGAAAATTGTTATACTTTTATAAGTTTGTAAATAATTTCATAATGTTTAACACTGTTATAATAAACAAGAAAGTAAATAAGTATAGTAAATTTTGCTTAATATAATTAATTATTTTACTCAAAAACCGCATATCCATTTAGGATTTGTATTGTTATTTATCGTACAATTTAGTGTTTCGAAGTAATTAATATTCTTTTTTTATGTGATAACAAATATTTTATTTTAAATGCCATATTAGCTTACTATTTTTAAGAGTTTTTCTGTGTTTTCGTAATTTAAAACTTGTAGTTTATTTACCAAAACCGTTTTTAGTGATGATCGGTTCAGTTTATATATTGTATATTTCTTATGTATAACATTGTAAAGAAATGGGCCCGTATGTACTAGTTGTTTTTGAATAAATTTTGTTTTGAAAGAAGGTAAATAAATATTCACACGTCTTTTGTTTTGATCTATTAAAGCTAAGTCAATTGCTTTATGTTGACTTAATAAAGTTTTATTTATATAAAGTTGCCGGATAGTCAGAAGTTTTACATTCTTGGTACAATTGTTCAGTGGAGAATCTACGTGGTTTTCTAAATATAACTTTTAGAATTGTCCTCTGTGCTCTTTCCACTTCTATTAAATGAGACGCGGATGCACCTCCCCAAATGGAGGTGCAATAAGCTAAGATAGATTGACATATGGAAATATATACTCGTTTGACTAAGATCACATCAGCAGTATCTCGGAGAGATTCGAAAATTGGGATAAGCTTTCTAACTTTTTTGCTCAATGACGTGATTTGCGGTTGCCAGGAAAGCTTCTTGTCAACTATGATACCGAGATATTTTTGGGTAAGCGTTTGTTCAAGTGCAAATTGAACAATCGCATCCACCAAATGAGTTAATTGAAAGATCGTCTTTTATGGAACTTTATATTAAATTGCGGCGGAGGATCAGTTTTGCTACTAACTCTAAAATATATGTACTTGGTTTTCGTTATGTTAAGTGTCAGCAAATTGTCATCTAACCACTTCATTATCACTTTGAATCCAATTTCGGCATATCTTTGAACCTGTGACCAAGTTTGCCCACAGAAGATCAAAGTAGTATCGTCTGCAAAGGCCAATGTGCATCCATTCTTCAATTGTATCTTACAAAGCTCATTAACATAGACGAGGAAGAGGCTGGGACCAATAGGCTAGTTGACCCTTTTTGGAAAAAGGTTTTAAATGGTTAATAAATGATCTATTAGATCGAAAAAAAATGTATTGTATTTTTTGAGACTTAGAAAGCTACAAATCTTTTATTTTAAAATAGACTTTTCATGAACATAGAAAAACGCTGTCGGCCATTTTAGTCTATAGATTGTCTATGCTATGACGTCGACGGTAGTAAACAAAAACTCGTAAGTAAATAACAGTTTTAATAATACAAGTTTTAAAGTTATGTATGAATGACATTTAGTTGTTTACTAAAAGAGACGTCACAATCATGGCGGTTGCGGCGAACAGCGTGTTCGCAACGCGCGTAGTGTTTAAAAATTATAGACTAAAAATTATTTTTTTAAATTAATTTTCTACAGCAATCTTCTGCTTTTATGAAGTGAAATCGTTATATTTAGGTTCCTTAGACCAAATACTTTAAGAAATAAATATTTATTTAATACAATTCGACATGAGTCAACTAGCCTATTGTACTTCCCTGTGGGATTCCAAAATGAGTGCGCAAAGAGTCACTATGAAAATCATTTATTCTGATTGACTGGCCTCTATTTGTGAGGTAGTCACGAAACCATTCCAACACTATACCTCGTATGCCCAAATTTTCCATCGATGCTAGGAGAATTGGTATAGACACAGTATCGAATGCTTTCTTTAAATATAAAAACACTCCTACGCAACACTGGCCCCTGTCAAGTAATTTAGATACCTTAGTAGAAAGTAGGGCAACTGCGTCCTCTGTGCTTTTGTTTTTACGGAAACTGTATTGGTTTTCAGCAAGTAGTTCTTGGCTTTCCAGCTAGCTCATCAATCTCATGTTAACCACTTTTTCTATTATCTTACTTATAGTACTCAGTAGAGAGATAGGGCGATAGTTAGAAGCCGATTCCTTATCACCAGATTTGTGTATAGGAACTATGACGGCTTGTTTGAAAATCTTCGGAAAGATGCCAGTTGAAATGCTTAAGTTACATAAATGTGTTATCATGGAACACAGAATTTGACGGGAGTTTTTTAGTACTATGTTGAAAATATTGTCAATACCTGGCGCGCTATGTACCTTCAGGTTGCCTATAATTTTATCTATCTCTATGTAATCTGTGGGCAAGAGTGTCATCGAGTTCGATACTGTGAACTTATTTTTAAGCAATGCAAGCTGGTGTTCTGATATATTAATTTTCTTTAGTATTTCATTTGCTAGTTCCGCGCCTACTGATGTGAAGTATTGGTTTACGGCATTCAAAGACTCTTTAAAGGTGTGTAAATATTATTCAACAGAGCTGTAGGTTTAGTTGCTTGCTTTTTAATGTTACATACTTCTTTCACAGTGTCCCAAGTACCTTATTGTTTTTATAGTTTTTGTGAAATTTATCACGATAGTATTCACTTTTTAAGGATTTAGCTAACAGATTACACATAAATTGATACTTTATATATGCAAGTTTAATATCTGCATTTTCAGGTCTTTTCTTAACTATTAGATGCATTTTGTCTCTCTTGCGGAAATTTTTGATTAGTCCCGCGCTAATCCACGGCTTTACTGGTCTTTTACGCCTGGTGAAAGTGGCTTTGTGTGTATGCAATTTTATTAGGTCATGAATTGTTTTGGTGAGAACTACTGCAGCTTGATTTGGCTCTGTAAGTTTTAGAAAACGTGTCCAGTTGTGTTCTTTAATGGATTTTTTGAGTGCCTCAAAGTTTATTTTTGTTCTCGTGAGCGATGTGAAGGAGGTATTAATTTGATTTTTTTGGCTGTGTATTGGTATCAAAATTGGAAGATGATCAGTTATATCCGTATCAAGTACAAAGCATTTTATATTTACCATCAATTTTGCACATAAAATGATCCAAGCATGTTTGGCCATGTGTAGGTATATTGATGGAGTTTATGAGACCATGTGAGCCAATTATATCAAGATAATCACTTACATTGCTGTTGCTAGGACAAAGAGTATTGATGTTTGTATCTCCTGTAATTACAACGTTTCGCGATTTGATATCCGAAAGGTGATGGTCTAGTGAATCTAGAAATTTTCCCGGATGTTTGAAGCAGTACGGTCTATAAATACCCAGAATAGTCAAATTAACCATTTCAACCACTAAGCAATTGGCTTCTTGTATTTGTAATTCATAAACTTTACAGTTAATATTCGAATTGACATAGATATTTACATCATCATTCTGATTATAGCTTCGTTTAGTGGAGTGTACTGTGTATCCATCGATCATAGGTGGAATAGTATTTTCGTTACACCAACACTCCGATAGTACAATAATATGCAGATTAATATAGAACGTAGTCAAACAGATAAGAAGATTATCCATGTTCTTATTAACACTTCTTATATTTATCGATAGTACTTAATTCAGTTTTTAAATTGCTAGGGTTTTCAATGAGTTGACAAGGAATTGAGTTTATTGTTTCTATCTCTTCTAGTAAAACATTGCTGTCCATAATAATTTCCAATGGTAAGACTTTCGACTAAAAAAAGATATAGTTCCACCCTTATTATGCAAAAGTTGATACAGAAGGCATTCCTTTGTTTGTTTTTATATGGTAAGGCATTAATATATAGTAATATTATGTAATTTTGTGTTTCAAAATGTAAGTGTTCTAATTGATCCAAATGTAGTATATAAGTTCTCGAGCAAAGTTTACAGTCACGCATGTAAATATAAGATATGATCGCAATATATTTATAGGTAATTGATAATATTATAATAAGTAGAAAAAATGAGAGTAAATAGTTAATAAATGATAGCTTACAAGTGCAAGTAATAATATGAAAATTCGACAAGTCAAGATCTAGTCATTTGTTCCTTAAGATTTGTAGTTGAGCTTCGCTTTTTACTAGAATATAGGGGTCATCTTGTTTTCTTTGTAGGTACACTAATCCATTCGACGTCCAGCAGAAATCGTAGCCCATAGTCTTGCCAAAATCTCTAGCGAGGAAAAAAAGCCGCGATGCCGTAAACGGTGTCAGATGCTCCGCTAAGTATATCTCCACTTTGGGGCCCTCAAGGCCGAGATGATGAGAGTTTAGTTGTTGTGTCTTGTACTTGATGGCGTTAGAGTTGAATTTCTTAGCAGCCAATAGGATATTACTCTTGATCAGGGTAGATGAGAACTCACCAACAATTATTGAGGTCGTGTGGTCGTGCTTAGAAGGGACCCGATAGGCGTCACGTAGATCCGACATATTCAAGGTAAGCCCCAGTGTAGAAGATAATTTGTGTATATTATTAAAAAGCAATTCTTTAGTTTCTCCTTTCTGTTTTGGGACATTTCTTATCTGGATGCAGGTTTTACGCGACAATCTTTGCAGTGAGTCGCATTTTTCCTCAATTTGAGAGATTTGTATACCGATTTGCTTACGTTCTGCGTCCAAGCGACTAATAGCCGTTTGGATGTCACCTAATTTATTAGTAACAAACTCTATGGAAGTACCAATATCTGTGGTACTTACTTTCATATTGTCGTTTTGGTTTTTTATATCTGTTATATGTTGTTCCAGATTGTCCATACGGGAATTTTGTTGAGCTTGTAACTCACTCAGAATAATTCGTAGTTCCTCCCGTATGATCTTGCGTAAGTCAGATCCCATTAGGTCAGGTTGGTCATCAGAAACGCGTCGTCTTTTCGATTCACGTTGAGTTCTATGTGTTAGTTCTTCAAGCAGGGGTATGGTGCCCGCCACCTTATCCACAACTGTGTCTACCATACTGTGTGATTTATTTAAGGTGGGCGAACGCATTAAGTTTGGCATTTCGTGCAGATAAAATATGTAAAAATGAAGAGACGTACCACACCCGCTTCCGCTTATGAAATTTAATTTAATTTACTTAATTATGGCTGCTGTCTTATTAGCTGTCCTTCCCTGCAGTAAATACGTCACGCAGCGATTGAACACTTTATCATGCACTCCTGGTACTTCGATGTAATAATAAATGTATTTGTATATTAAAATAAAAATTTAATTTATTTTTGCACGGATTTGACGTCTATACGCTTGCGCGGTCCGAGAGGAGAACTTTAAAAATACGTATCCAATATTTTTACTTGACGATAGTATCGCTTTTTCACACCTTATAGCCGTAGGATATTTATTGTCTGCCGACCTGCCCCCTACCTCGTAACTACATTGATACATAAAGTATAATATTTTTGATTGGTCTACCGTATCGGATAACTAATAAAATTCAATATAAAGTCCCAAATAATTGAACATTATGTTTAAGAATGAAAAACATATTTTCAACTGTATTCTGAGATTTTCAATTATTTACGTATGGCCATTTTTATCATCATTACTGTGGGTTTTAAATTACGGAATTTTTCGTCAAGTTTATGTCAACCTGTAAAGTTCTGACAACCATACTCATTGCGACTTTTAAATTAATACTTCAGAACTCCAAGCACGAATTTTGACAGCTCCGTTATCGTTTCGCATCGTCACAGTTTCTATGAAAACTAAGCAGCGTTCCTACCAGACCTAAGAACAAAATGGCTCAGTTTTTTTGTAACTTCGCCTTGGCGCCAAAAAATAGGCTCATGACCGGACGGAGTACCGGGGAAAGTTTGGGTTGCGGCCCTCAAACCCCCGGGGAAACATTACGGCGCCAATATCAATCCGCGGAGCGCGGAATTCCCCAACTGAAGACAAAAAGCAAAACACTCTAAGTAATCCGGCACTCAATTTGGATATTCGTATCTACTCTTTGTAAACTTGACAACAGTCTTTTTCTTAACATGCTTTATAAGGAATGAAACGGAGAGACTGATGTTAAGTTTACAAATACCAAATAAGAATAGACGAGTAAAGTGCAATCACAACAAAATGCGTCACAGGCTTAATTAAAAAAAGATGAATAAGATAAGGGTGTATGTTCAGAGTATACTTTGTCACTAAAAAAAAAGTTTGCAGACAGCGCTGTATGGACTCAGAATCCTTTGCCCGTTCCAACAGGAAAAAATAGACCAAAAGAAAATGTCAAACTACAAGATCGATTGATTAATTTTCATTTTAATGAATTGTTTTACATAGTGTTAAAGGCAAATCAGACCACATTTACAATGTCTCAAATAAAGTCGAATAAGAAGTTCAAATGGGCTTTAGATTATAATCAAAAGTGAGTTAATAGAATGTCACAATGATATTTAATTTTGCCTATAAATTATCTCGTTGAGCCACCAACATATTCCACCAGTGGTTTAAGAATATTCAGTCATTTACAACGATGTTACTCTTTCAGAAATAAAACAACCCTCGATTTGCCCACTCCGCCAGGATATAGTCAATCGGCAAATGCAAACTACACGGAGACATCAAAGGATAACGATTCTAATCTACTTCTGATCAAGAAATTATGGGATGTGGCATTAGGACCGCTGAAACAAGTGCCAATGAATTTGTTCATAATGTATATGGCAGGAAATTCAATTTCTATTTTCCCCATAATGATGGTGGGAATGTTAATTGTACGACCTGTAAAAGCCTTATTCTCAACTCAAAGTACTTTTAAGATGGTGGAAGGAACACAAGCAATTGGTCAAAAGTTTGTTTATTTTATTGGAAATATTGTAAATATACTGCTTGCCCTGTATAAATGCCAAAGTATGGGTTTGTTACCCACTCATTCAAGTGATTGGTTAGCTTTTGAGGAACCACAAACACAAGTAGAACACATAGGAGGGGGTCTATCGTTACTATAACTTAAAGAAGAGAAACAAAACAGTTAATATTGTAAATGTATTATGCCTATTATTGTGGACTTCTATTATATGATATTTACAGTAAATACTTTAATGTTTGATTTCATATAACTAGGGGTTGTTAACAATCTTTGCCACCTTTCTTTCCATCTTTGTCACTAATTTCTCCAAACTTTGCTTTAAAAAAAGTTTGGGCTTTCTCAAAAAGCACTTTTGGATCTTCTACTTTATCTATCTGAAAGTGAGAAATGTCAATTTTATAAATATTGCTAAGTAGGAATTATTTAAAAAATATATAAGTAACATTAAATGACAGCATAGGAGAATTCCTGGTTCATGTTGTAAAAAAAAACAACTAACCATTTATCTCTATCCAAACTCTTGTCACATTCCTGAGGGGATTTCTTACAAAGAAGTTGTACTGCATCCTGGATAAGGAAGAAAACAAAAACATAAAAAAATACTATGTTTGGGTAGAAATGTGACAGATACAAAAGAGGCCATCAAATAACAATGAACCAGGAATACTCCCAAAGTTGAAAGTTCCGGAAATGCTGGTAATGGTGACAATACAATTTGACAAAGACATGGCCTCCTTTGTGCACTTATAATAAATTAAATGGAAACAGGTCTGACCTGATAATTTTGTGCTATATAAACTCCAGTGTATATTCCAGTACCGAAAATTATCTGAAAAGATGAATAAAAATACTGTAATAACAATTTTTCTTTTACAAAAAGCATAACATTATCATCTCAATTAGTTTTTGTGATAGTAAAGTCAGTTTATAAAACTCAACATTGATAAGCTTAACAACAAGATCTGGGAAAGGAAAAAAAGTAGATGATCAAATTACATAAATGTTGTTAAACAAGTACTTGTGAAACCTCTAAATCCAGCCCTGTATGAAACCTACCATGAGTGAGCACAAATGGTGGAGCATATTTGTCTGAACAAACAAATGTCTTTGCTAAGATTGATACTCTTGTATAATTTGTAAGAGAAGGGCAGGCCACTATTTTTGCACTATCAATTTAATTATACAATTGATCTTATTCTTGTTTGAGACATTGCTTTTCAGTATTAGCTCAATCAGGCTGGTTGTGCATCTGACATTATTTTTTTTATAACACTGTACAAGTGCTATGGCTTCTCTTATCCTGACATCAGTACTATAATTGTCTAATAAATTGCATTGTTAGTTAACTGTAGTTTCCCTTCAATAAATAAGAACAATGATGGCTACTGGTAACCTAGTAAGACTACTGTTTAATTTAATTCATACTAGACTTACTGAATTTTTTGCCAGAGAAAATAAACAACCCATGGTTATTCATTAATAATTTGGTAATAGTGTTAGTCTGGCATCTTTTATTTATTTAAAATTTCTCCCATCGTTTCACCTTTCTTGTATTTACAAATATGACATAATTTTGACATTCTAAACTTGAAAAAAACATTTAATTTTTTAATTTTATGTCAGTAGACGAAAGGGGTAACATAAATAAAATGCTCTTTGTTTACATTGTTAACATGATATGATGAAAGAACACTTCCATTCTTTACAAAACACATTCTTTATTACATAATGATGGAATCATCAATAAAAAAATGTTTAAATAACTAGTTTACACAACAATATACAAGATAAATAGGATAATTTTTGAATTTGAGATTATTGACAAGTAGGGGGAGATTTAACAATAGGTGTTAGAGATTTATCTCTTTGATAAACTTACCAATTCTTTTATCATCTTGGCCAATTATTATTTTATAAATTTAAAGTAGATCTTGTAATCTTACATTGACTGATTGGGGCCAGGTATTTTTGTTGTATTTGGATTTGAAATTAACCTTGTAAATATTTTTTTATTTTGGGTCTTTTGGAGCAAGTAAGACAAAAATTTGACATTGACATGCAGGGTTGCCAGAAGTGATGTTCTAATTTACGTCAGATTGAAAATTATTTTATTCCAAAATGATACTTTTTCAGAGAAATAGCCAAATCTTGTTTTGGAAAAATAATTTTATAATAGGTTATGTTTATTCAAAAATGTTATATAAAGATCATTAAAAAAGATTTGTGTGGTTTTATGTTACCACGATGATTGAAAAATTAAGTCTTTTAAATCTTCTCAAAAAATTTCTGGTTTACAGAAAGTGAAAAAAAAACTTCTTTGGCTAGGAATTCAACTCAGGCCGCCTGCGTAGTAAGTGAACTTTTTACCACAGAACTACCTATTCTTGTTGTTAAGGTCTGATTTATAATAAAAATAAAACTAAATATATTTCGCAATATATTGCCACATGCTAAATATGATTAGCGTCAAAATTGCTGGATCACTCTCTTAATTTAATATATGAAATATTAAAATTAAGAGAGTCATATAATAACATAACATAGTCATAATCATTGGATTTTGTGCCGATTTAGTACTATTTGCTATCTTTATTCAATTATTGGGTACCTCTGTGATTCAAAAGACAAATATACTTAATGATGGTCCCGCTATTTTGACGCCAAAACTCGAACCTGCAAATCAGAGTGGAAATTCACTAAGACACATATTTAGTACCTCTGATCCACCTTCTAAATATCGCATTTGCTTGTAATTATATCAAGGGATATTATCAAAGCAAACATAAATCACTTGTTCCGTGATCATGACGTTTTTCTAATGTGCTAAAATTCGTACTAACATTACAAATTCTTATTTTTATTGTATGTGCATTTAGTTCTTAATCAAAACCTATTAAAACAATCCATATTTCTTCTATGACCTTTTAATTTAATCATAAAAGAAATCTTATATGGAGGATTCCAAATAATTGATGCGTATTCCAAAATAGATCTCACTAAGGACTTAAACAATAGAATTAAAGTGGAACATCTTTTAAAGTCTTTGCTAACCCTGAGAACAAAACCTAGCATTTTTAATTATAGCAGTTATATTTTCAATGTGATTATTCAACAATAATTTGGCGTCTCGAATTACTCCCAGGTCCCCAACAAAATTAACACGATTCAAGGACAGATCAGTTAGTTGATAATTATATGTTTTGTTTTTTTTTCTTTCTTAAACACAACATTTATTTACGGTCAAATATAAACAATTATCATTGCAATAACAAACCAAATTATTTAAATCTCAAGTATATTTTATATTCGTTTTGGTAGCCACTTAAGTCAGGTTTATAATTGTGTTAATTTATTTATATATTTTTTTTCTTAATTTTGTAATACTTTCATATGGTATGAAATTTTATTTTGAGACAACTTCTTACATTTTTATTTTTCTAACCTTATAGCCAAGAAATCGCCAAGTTCAATTTATTTCCGCCACCTATTCAACAAACGCCAAATCCAAAATTTCCGACAAAATGACGGATTAATTCTCCAATCTGGTATCACTGTGACATGCACTTGTGTATAAAATTTTCCCAATCAGAAAGCAAAGGATAACTTTGTAGCGCACACAGAATAAATTACAGTTGCCTTATTATTTTTATGAAGAATGTCTATTACACTCCAATTTATAATTATAATGTCTTTGAATCACAATCATTAAGATGATCACAATCATATTTTTTAATAGTCTTTACTCATACGAATAATCTTGATGTGAGATTTAAATTAGGTCAGAGGAAGCTCTAGCAGATCTCAAGTAGATCTTAGCGAACTTTATTGAACAGTGCAATGCTACAACCCAAAAATGAAGGAACAAATTCGAACGATTCTAAAACGAATATTAATTTCTATAAATCTCTCTCTATCTCTTGACTTAAAGTTGTATATAGCGCGGACAGCTCTCTTTCGCAGTATGAAAATACTATCGATATTAGCAGCAGTGGCGGACTAAGCCCGTCAGAGGCCCGGGGCGGCAAAGATGAATGAGGCCCCCCAGCTTTAAAAAAAAATAGTTTTTTATGTTTAATTTGTTAACATCAGAAAGGTTTGGTTAACATCAGGAAAGTAAAATTTAAATTAAATTATTTCGGTTATCAACATACATACCTACAATATGAAATGGATATGGGTGAGAAAAATGAAATACGATAGCGAACGACAAAAAAATAAATAAAAATCAAAGATAGTTTTCTTATTTTTTGTAGGGTGATATATGTGTTTTCGTGCCTTCAATTACTGAACTCCTCAATAACTTCTTTGAAATCTATTTTTTTGGATTTTTTTTTCTATTGAAAGCACGGCAAGGTAAACCAGTCGCTCTTGACCCATTGTAGATCGAAGATAATTTTCAATTAGTTTAGGTTTCGATATACAAATGTACAGAGACTTTGCCGTGTTGAAACTCACGATGAGAACAAGTACATAACTACGTCCCTAATAAACGTATACTACAAATAAAATAAGGACCACTCGCGAAATGAAAGAACTAAAGCAATGTACTCGTAGGTGCATATTGACTAGAAACTACGGATTATAATTTGTAGGCTATTTTATACGAAGAATTATTAACTTTTTTCAAATACTTGAAAATGCACTAACTCAACTCTGAACTCGTTTTCTTTTATACCGCAACAAAAATAAAAAACACTATAACACTTTTTAATGAAATTACTTTAAACGGATTAGATCGCGTTTCATCAACAGCCTATCCTAGTCCACTGCTGGACACAGGCCTCTCCAATTGCACGCCACTCAGATCGATTTTGGGCTACTCGCATCCAGCTCCTGCCAGCCACCTTGCGCAAATCGTCACTCCATCGTGCCTGAGGACGTCCTACACTACGTTTGCCTAGACGCGGTCTCCACTCCAGAACTCGTCTACCCCAACGGTTATAGGTTCTTCGGCAAATATGGCCAGCCCACTGCCACTTCAACTTGCTAATCCAGTGGGCTATGTCGATAAGATACGGACCCAGAGCGGATTGGTGGATGATAACGGACCCAGCGCGGATTAGTGGGTGATTACGGATCCAGTGCGGGTTGGTGGGTGATAACGGACCCAGCGTGGATGAGTGGGTGATTACGGACCCAGTGCGGATTGGTGAATGATAACGGACCAAGCGCGGATTGGTTGGTGATACCGGACTCAGCGTGGATTGGTGGGTGATAACGGACCCAGTGAGGATTCGTGTATGATAACGGACCCAGCGCGGATTGGTGGGTGATAACGGATCCAGCGCGGATTGATGGGTGATAACGGTCCCAGTGCGGATTGGTGGATGACAACGGACCCAGCGCGGATTGGTGGGTGATAACGGACCCAGCTTACTTAATCAATAGGGTTACCCTATTGATTAATTTACCTTTTATTTTCCGTGCATTCGAGTGTTTCTATAGTGCAGTTCAGACCAGGGAATTACAGCAATGTTTGCATTTGTTGTTATTTCCCTCAAATTTTAATTTTATTCTGGAATCATACCAACCCGGAGAAGATTCTGAAGCAGAAATAAAATAAAAATGGATGCGTGTAACTTATGTACGCGCGCGAGAAGTTATACTTCTTTAGCATCATTAAAAATATTTTTAATTGCATGCAAATAATTAATAATTACAATAAAATAATAAAAGGACTGGAAAAGGATAGTTAACACAGTCAATTAAGTTCAGTTTTAATTTGCAAAATTAAATAAATATTAAAAATATTCAATTAAAATCACTACTGAATTTAAGTTATTAGTCCATATGTAATTAGCACTTGTAAGTAACTAAAACACGTTGTGTCTATATAGAAACTAGAAACATGTGGATAAATATTATAAATATGAAAACAGTGATCAGAGGCGACGAGCGTGCCAACATTGTTTTTGACAACGCGATCATCTTATGGAGCTCCGTGGATCGTTCAAAGTACCTTTCGAACAGATGTCTAATAATGGTGGATTATTAACCACTAAGTGGTTAATAATCCACCATTATTAGACACTAACATTCATAACGCGCCCGCGGCCAACTTCATGGTGTTACTATTGTGTTACAGTGATGCGCGCGCATCTCGAAATTTCACTCACATGAGTTTTTCATAACGCGCCCGCGGCCAACTTCATGCTGTTACTTTTGGGTTTTCATAACGCGCCTAAAGAAGTATAACTTCAAATATATGTTAAACGTGCTTTGTAACGTACGTAACTTTAGATTGTTTTTAGTTAGCATTCAATAGAACTCCATTTGATTGCTCAGTTCAAAATGTGCTTGGCATGAGTTTGCTACAGAAACAAAATTCATAAGCAACCATTCGTAATTTATAATTTAAATTATATACTTAATATTGTCCTAACCACGTAAATCCTTAGTAAGGATTGAAGGTAATCTATTGGGATATACCTACATATTTTAGAAATTATTTTATTTTTTAAATTGTTTATCAGAAATGAATGTGGAATTTATTTTTATTTCTGTTGCATAAAGGTACTTTACAAGTTTTTTTAAAACCATCATGAGTTATTTTCTTGTTTTATGGACTCAATAAAAATTTAAAATTTATCATTCTGTTTTCATTTCAGTTTTTTTCTTTTTCATGAATTATTAAACAAATATAATGTTTTGTCAAAATAATGAATTCTCTACAATGTCATTCGTTGCTTTTATATAACATATTATTATTATGTTATAAACAGATGCCAATAATTGGTACCTATTAATTTTTTTCACAATTATTTTTAATCTTATTATAACACTGGACCGCAAATAAACCGGTTAAAGTACCAACCTCGAATCAGAATTACAACTCTGATTCCATTTTCTTACAAAGTATAAAACTTACAACTATGAAAGTAATCATCTAAAAAGCACTTTCTGTAGGTACAACTTTGGTAGTTTTACGTTTTATACTTTTGAGAAAATCAAATCAGAGTTCCGACGTAGCAAGTTACCCGATTTAATTGCTTTCCAGTGTAATATATTCGGTTTTAGTTTAAAACCTTGATACATACGAAAGTATAAAATGTTCTAAACATCACCAAACAAGTACTTGCGTACAAAAGCTTTCAGTTTAACGCGGAGTTGAAAGATTAAATTTATATTTAAAAATGTTGATACCTTCCCTGACTTATCTCAATTAGTTACGTACGATAGAGGCTTTAAGCATATGTATAGACGGAAACATATTTTAGGTACCTAATATTATTAACTTAACTATGATTTTCGGTAACCTTACAAATAACGTTCTTTGGGTCGGCATTGAGTAGAAATATTGGCAAGTAAAAATGTTTATTATTAATATATCTACGATATTAACGCTGCAGTTTAAAAGCTTTTTACTACGATGTACGATACCGTGTTAATATCAAGGCTGCCAAGGATTTAGGATTTTCACTACCTACTTGATAATTTGACAGCTAAGTAACGATATATTCGCCCTGAAGAACTTTGTGCTTTGGCCAGTAAGTAAATTATGTTTTCAACACATTTGCTGGAAAATGCATTTACGAAGGTTGTATACATTGTTCGAAAATTGAAAATTACGGGCCATACAAGCAGCGGAGCGTGCGGTAAAATTCATTACTGCCATACATGGCACCGTGCGTATTCTTTACGGTTTTTTTTTATTTCGATCGAATCTCCTCGCAAGCGCTTTTAGTCTATGCCTTTAAAAGTAAAAAGAAAAAGAAACGAAAGATGTAGTTCTAATTTTAACCACCCGCACGTGGCGCCATTTGGAAAGAGTTCCATTTTCTTATTAGAAATATTTACTTTATTACTTAAATTATGCATAGTCTTTTCTCGCAAATGTGTTGAAAAACGTTGTATGACATTCGTGCGGAATTGTTATTTACAAACTGGTGACTATGGTAAGCACTCGTTTGTTGTTACATTCGTCTTCTCGTTTGTAATAACCAACTTACCGCACTTATATCATAAATAACTATTTCTGTGGCTATGGTCTATGGTTGATGCCGTTGGAATTTTCGTTTCATAGCACTATACCTATAGAATGTCTATTTGATAGATAGTTATCATTTATTATAGTTTTATTGGATTGTCTAATAGGGGCTTATTTTACGAGTATTACACGGAAAAATAAATAAAATATAATTCGATAATCTTTAAAGACTTCATAAAAACTTTGTTGGGGTTGTGATATAAATTGTTGCATTTTGACCATAAACTTTTCACCCTAATAAAAACAACTTCAAATACACAAAAACCGATTCATGAAATAAAAATAATTAACATCTTAGTTACGTCCCTAATCTAGATATCAATTAATTTAAAAATCTATATCATTAATTATTATAATACTATTTTACAATGCTACATTATTATTATTTTTATGTATGGCGCCTCAAGATATAATAAATTAATTCAAATAGTATAACTACGTAGTTAAAATATTAAAATAATTGGAATGCTTAGAATAATTCGAAAATTGGAATGCTTCAAAATTCACAAAAAATATTAGGTATGAACAACGTATTAATTTCTACATTTATTATATTGATTGGTTTATCTACCTATTGTAAGTTTAGTATTATAAGAACCATCCAGATTTTGCTTGGGGTTTGTTTAAGATTTCAACATATTCATGCGTGAGTTTATAATCAATGCATTTAATCTTAATAAATCATGCAAGGAATACTCAATACTCAGGTAATATTATCCTAGGGCGCTATACTTAAACTTGTGTGTACAATTTGAACAACCATGAGTTTTATCACATTGAACGTGCTCTAGAAAAACATAACTAGGACTTAGTTCATTGTTCTGCATTTCTAAAGAGGTATTGTATTGAATCTTCGTGTAAGGCTATGAGTAACATTATGATACCACCTGCGAGTATTCCTACAACGGCTAAAAGTAAATTCATGGCTTTACCATGATTGTTTGCATTTATTTCAGGAACTAAATCTGCCAGAGCAATATAAAAGAATGTTCCAGCTGTGGCGGCGTATATCCACTGCGAGGCCGACTCGTGGTCTTCAGCCAGCCAAATGCCTCCAGCCATACCCATAAAACTGAGCACAGAAGACAGTAGATTATAATATAAGGCTCGCTTTATTGTCATTCCCGATCTGAGCAAAACTGCAAAGTCTCCGAGCTCATGCGGTAATTCGTGACAGAATACAGCGAGCGCAGTAGCGAAACCAGTCACGGGATCTCCGCTAAATGCCGCTCCTATTGCTAGTCCGTCAGTCAGATTGTGCAGACCATCTCCCACGATAACCATGAGGGCGGTCGACGACATTGGCCGTTCCACTGGTGGCGGAGGTGCGCCGGGCATCATTGCGCCTAATTCTATAGGTTCTATTTGTTTACTGGATTCTGTTTTCATCTCTTCTACGGTCATCCCTTGATCATGTGAGTGTGCATGACCCCCGTTTACTATTTGCATAATAGCTTCCACTGTGTAGAATAAAAGAATAGTGAGAAATGTAACGCTGCATTTGAGTACAACTTCAGTTTCTTCTTGGGGTTCGGAAGACGAACCGTGAGACTTGAGCGCGTGAGGAAGCAGATGAAGCAACGCGTCTCCGCATAACGTCCCGACTGCCACGGCAATGAGGAAGTGGAGCACATGCCCGAATATCACGGACTTAAGTAGTGGCACAATTGCCACGCCCACGAGTCCGGTTGCACTTATGACCAAGATACTCAAGCTGGCGTATATCCAAGCTGAAAAGATAACATCAGTTTGAGAAACGTAATAATTATGACAATAAATATCACTAATGCACGGAAAAATATTGTATCTCAGGTTACGGCGATTGAAGATACAACCACATATTTACTTTATAAAAAAATGCAGGATTTTTAATAAAATTAATATGCACAAAACTTTCGTGCGTAAAACTCTAAATATGTAGATACAAGCATTTGTTTTTGTCTTTTTCACGCTATACTAAGAACTATTGTTACTCAGATTGAGTTACGATGTTTTCTCTTGCAGGTGTTGATTATATTCTGTCTGATTCGAAGTTTACACTTTACTTACTCCAATGCTTTTCTAATTTTGGTGTGGGTGCTTCTGTTTTGAAACATGACCGCTGGTCCAGCTGGTACACGAGGGCCGGACACATTTCCAAAAAGGTCTTCGGTTCTATCGAAATAACTCCTGGTTCGTTCTCTATGCCGTAAAACTCCAATATGTCCCTCGGTGATAGACATGACTTCTTCAGTATGCCGTCCCCTGAAAAAATTAAAACAAAATATTTTACGAAACCGTTACCACAGTATATACCTATATAAGCGTACGAAACCAGTGATTTCCATATTTGAGCTGGGGGCTCAAAGAAGTTCTATATTTATTTGGTTTGAACGAAAACTCTCACTTTGAAGTTTATAAACTTATAGGGGAGGGGAGGTGAGCAATGCTTTTTCCATACAAACGTTCTCGACATTTTTTCCTTCATTTGTATCACTAAAGAATTGATTTTCAGGTTTCAAATATCATTTTACTGATTCTATGCTCCTATGTCTCCCGATTTTCAATAACTTGTGTTTCAAAGAAACTATAAGAACTCAAAAAAGTCAAAAATAAACAAATTTTTATCACCACTAAAGACGTCTAGCATGGAGATTTTATAAGCATTTACAAAAAATGCAAAACATAGAAGTATAGTATAACTACTTATTATTCTATGGGTAAAATTTGTTTTTAAAGTATCTAATTTTCGAGAAGGAAATCGTCGAGAGTTAAACCTCGAATTTTGCAATTTTTATACGCAATTTTCATCGTTAACTACTGTTGCACCTATTGTATTTGCTAATGCGTGACAGCAATAGTTTTTTCAAATTCCTATTTGTCAAATGACTCTCAGCTCGCGTCCGCTCTTAGGCATCAAAACAAATAAATTACTCATCTAAAATGTTATGGACATTGATTTTATTGCACATAATTAGCAAGCTTGCAACATCTAATTTTAGAGTTTATTGCTTATTTCAAAACTTTAAAGTTCGTCGGCCACTTGTCTAGACACTCATGTAAGGCGTAGCAGCGACGATTTTTGGGTGTTCAGATTGTCTTTTATTTTCAACAATGAATTACAAATTGAAGAATAAAAAGGACCTTGCTCTCAAGGGTCTCGCTGGCTCGGCTCCTTCCCGTGTCGTGCCTAATAGGATAATCGCGTATACAATGACATACGCCGAGTCGCGCGTGCACTACTACTTATCCATCCGTATTTTCGTTAGATTACACACGATATCACACGTGTCGTGTTCCTCCGCGGTTATCATTCATTGTCAATTATAATATAAATAGTAGTGATCTAAGTTACTTCTCTATGGCTGTAGTTGATTGAAAGGGTACTGATCCAGTTCATTAAATATTTTGAAATGAGTCGACCCTGATGAAGATCAATAGTTTGACATGATGTAGTTATGATAATACTAAGCAATTACTCAAAGAACAAAAGAAAAACATACATCTAAATTTTCTTTACATTTAAACATCCAGCAGTTTAATGCCCAAAAAATATTACTACTATTGCTATTTCTTCTTTCTAACGTTTAATGTCTAACCTACAATGCGAAGATATAATACTACAAAAAATTCAACACGGCAGTTAGAGCCGCGGTAGCATAATGGTCAGTGCATCTGCCCGGATAGCGAAGCGTGCAGGTTCAATCCCGTCTGCTAGCCTAGTCCGTGTAATTTTTTTTCTAGAAATATTTTCTTTCGATTGAAATATCTAGCAGTTAAATGAATATACATATAAATACATTATCATAAGCTTGTGGAACTTTTTTGGAATATTTATTTAAATATTCAAAAAAGACAAAATGATGAAGAGCATTTGTACTTTTCTTTGTGTCTGGGAAATGCCTTACGCATCCTTCAACCACTGGGAGTAGAAGGTGTGTGGGACTCCTCCTTGTTCATTTCAGCCAGCCTTGTTGGCCGGATAAAATAAAGAGCATTTGTGTAACCTATAGGTTAAGGATGTTTATTATGTATTCTACTACAATATCCATACTAATGCTAAAGATGTAAAAGTGTGTAAGTCTGTCTGTAACCTCCCCACGCTTCAACTTTCACCCAGACAAAGTCGCGGACACAATTATTCGCGGTATTTCAACTGCTATGGTTCGTGAGGCACACACAGCCATCCTGCTAATAGAAGGACAGAATTAGTAAACCCCTGCAGGTTTAGTTACATTCGTTATAATTATAAAACTCTTTGGGTACAGTAGTATTTTTAAGTAAGTACTCCTCTATTTAAATAATTTGTGGTGCATGGCAATGAAAGGTTAACAAAATAATTTGTGGCGCATGGCAATGAAAGGTTAAAAAAAAAGTTTCTGCATAACAGGTTACAGAAAATAAATCTAGGTCTATTTTTTAGAAGCTTATATACACTGTAAATGGGTCGAGCGTTTTGTGTTATTGCGTAATAATTAATAATGCCCATTTTCCAATATAAGAAAGTATTATATCGGCATAGATTTCATCAGCAGATATAAAATATGCACAAGCGTAGAGGTTGAGTTCAGAGAGAGCGTCTCACTGCATCGCTTTCTATTGAATGCCAGGTACCTGCTATACCGGAATAAACTTATTAAAATTATCAATAGGAAATACACATCACAATTATTAAGTAGCTGTTACCATACCAATGGATTAGAAAAACTTCATCCATGAAATATGTGCGCTTAGTTTTTACAAGATATGTACTTAATAAAATTACAAAAATTTATAGCGTATGCCCAGATGGTTTGTTTTTAGCATATTATTATTATTATATGCTTATCGCATTTCGATTCTTATTGCTAGATTGAGACATACGAATAGCTTCGTTATTATCATTGTAGTGTGGCAAATTGCCTTCTTTTTCTAAGAGTAAGTATGTTAGGTTCATGCGGGATTTTAGAAAAGTAACTATAGAATATATACCATAATAAAAGGTAATTACATAGTATTGTTCCACGCATAGATTTTCTGATTTTTTTATTGACAATTGTTGCCCGCGTTCGTTGTTTAATTTTAACTTTTTATAAAGCGCAGGCCTTTATAAAAAGTTAGTCAGACGAGGGACTTTTGTCCAAGGACATTTTAGTCCGCCGAAATAGATCGCTTACATTACAACTGCATCAAATAACGATGAACGTCAAGTTGACGGGTCAGAATTGGGTGTGCGCCGTAAATGTCATGTCATGTGTGTTTCACTCATAGTGATCCCTTCATTTTGATATCAAAATAGCGGGATCACTTTCTTAGTTGAATATTTTGAAATTTTTGAGTGTAGATTTTTTCTATGAAAGTATAAAATTGCAGAAAATGTGTATTAAAACCTAATCACATTATATGATAAAAATCTGTCGGGGCCCGTCATCTTGACGTTCATGAATATCGCACACGAATGGTTAAAAACTACGCTTACAAAAAAACTCCTGAACAACCGAGGACACCCAGAAACTGGACTGGACAAAAGTACGGGGGTGTCCCCGAAAAAAATAGAACCCATATGACAAGTCCGCATTGCGCGATCGATTCGATTTAAAGGGTTGGCCCATTCTTTTATAAAGTGTTTTTTTCCTTAATGTTAATAACAACACAACGTAATCTCAGAATATATGCTTCCATAAAGTGCGTTTCTCTAAATTTCCAAGTAACAAATGTTACTATAGAATATAACACCGTGTGGGTTGCGTTGAGTCCGTAACAAGTTCTCGGCGGTAATTTGTCCTCCGCAGACAAAAATCCCTAGTCTGCGCAGGCCATTATAGAAAAAAACAAGGAGTCCTAAACACTCCCTACAAGATTATGGTGTAGAGACAATACATACATTAATTTACTAAAAAAAACTTACTAGACTTTTGGCAAACTTACAAATCGTTTAGTTTTTATCGCGACCAAATGACTAATATTAGATAGAAAAACGTAATAAAGAATGACAATTCAAACACGATTACTCGTTGGAAAAGTTATAAAAATATTATAAGACGTTGATCGCGGTCGCGCGTAAAAAAAGTAATGGACGTATTCACAATTCTCCTCTCGATTCTAAATAGCACAACCGTTAAGATCTACCTACGCGTTTTACTGAATTTATTTTCAGCTCTACTATAAAACTTATTTACATTGTCAAGTGCAGCTACCTACTTTTAAGGGGGGAAACGGTTTATCACGACTTTGGAGAAACTCCTATTTTGCCATTGAATCAGTGATAAGACCCGCACTAGACAGTTAGACAGTGTTTGATCATTTGCAACGCTAACAATTTTCCTTGACAGATTTGAGTATAATCATTAAATAGCCTGAGACATACAGTTTGTCTATAAAGTCGTGACATGAATGTTTGAGGAACTAACATTATTCATGTGTCTGGCAACACCAAACTTATGTACACCGTCTTCAGTTGTGGAACAGTTTTCCTTTTGTATTTTTTATTGTTTGGATTAAACTGTAATAAATTAAGACGAAACTACGCAGAAAGGTATAAAAATGAGTAAAGTAAATCGGAGTGGCACGGGAAGTGATTTTTAAAGTTTTCCAGCGATGTTTCGAAGACTACCAAGCTGGACGAATTTTGTGGGATTTGGACGATGTTTATGGGCGAACAGCATCTATGACGGGTATGTAATCGTGTAACTATTTGTTTGTAATCTGCCTGAAGTTACAAATTTACTCAATTTACGATTTTGAGACCAAAAAAGGCATTGTTTACATTGCACATTTTTAGGTTAGATTGACATTGTAAATAGGTAATATTGTAGTACGACCATTTCTTTTGATACGTTATTATGGTTCAGCTCGGTCAGGTTTTCTACCAATTTTGAATTAATTGCTTCATGTCAATAAGTTATTGTTATAATTTTTATTATTTTTAAAGCATGTAACTGCTTGATGTTTAAATCTAAAGAAAATATAACTAGAAAAAATTCCACGCGGACCAGGCAGCAGACGGGACTCGAACCCGCACCCTTCGCAATCCGGGCGAATGCACTGACCAATTATGCTACCGCAGCCCTCACGGACCGCGTCGAAATTCTTTCTAGCTATTCTTAAGCTGCAAGGCAGCGCCATCTCTTCGCATTATAGGTAAACCCACAATGTCAAATGAATACTTTTACAAGTATTAAACATTTGAAAGAAGAAATAGCAATTATAGTTATAATTTTTATTATTTTTAAAGCATGTAACTGCTTGATGTTTAAATCTAAAGAAAATATAACTAGAAAAAATTCCACGCGGACCAGGCAGCAGACGGGACTCGAACCCGCACCCTTCGCAATCCGGGCGAATGCACTGACCAATTATGCTACCGCGGCCCTCACGGACCGCGTCGAAATCTTTCTAGCTTGCGAAGGGTGCGGCTCTGGTCTCAATGGCACCTCAGCGGTAATCACCAACATTACACACTTTTACACTATAAAGTACTATTTTATCTATAATAATTTTATTCTGATTCAATTAAATTTGCTTGGCTAAACTTTTTATAAGCATAGGTACCTATTATATATAAAACAGAAACAAAATAAGACTGTATAGTGTGTCTTATTAATTACTTATTTTACTTGAATGAACTACTAGTATCAAAATCATTTTGGTCCGACTGTATAGGGTTGCTACATGCATACTAGTGGTTCCATCATTTAATGTCACGACTTTATAGACAAACTGTACATGTCGCCAGAAGGTAAGGAATTGTGAGATATTTTTATTACAAGTAACACTAGTGGCCCGCCCTCGCTTCGGTTTCGTGTAGACTATAGTTTTTGTTTTCTAGCTTGTATTATACATTATTATACCTTTAAACTCTCCATGAAAGAATGTATAACTGAAAAAAAATAGTAGTGAAAAATTTGTTGCGTAGATTAGGACACGTAGTTCCGGATGCACCATTTGCTGTTAAAAAAGTTTGTCCACCTTACCATTCATTGGTCTGGGTCTACCTTGTAACGCAGAACTTTTAATGTCATAATATTATTATGCATATCGGCGGATGGCATAAACTTTATTTTGCAGAAAATCATTTGGCATATACTCATTAAGCAGACATTCAAACGCATAATTTTGTATGCCAGAATTATTTTTAGGCATAAAGGACAATGTTAAAATTGGTCAAAGAACCAACACCAATTTGGCATTTATGATAATTCTTAGTATATTTTTTGCGATAATTATCAGTATTTAGATTGTGACGGATACTTCCAGTTAAGTAAGTAAAATTGAAAAGTTAAAAAATAATCTGAGACAATAAATACCATTTTATATGTATAATCTATGGCAGCGCTGCAAACAAAACACTCTTTCTTCCTAATGCCGGCACTTCACTTGGCTATTCGTATTTGCTATTTTAAAACATGACATCAGTCTGTCCTTTTCATTCCTTATTAAGTATGACAAGGGCAAACTGTTGTCAAGTGAAGGGCCGGCATAAAACTTGTTATTCTGTGGTTGTGGTGCATGCAGTTTGCATTCGTAGTAATCTGTGGCATTCGTGTATTCCAAAGAGTAGTTTATTATACCGAAAAGTGCATTCTCGTTTCGGATTACCTGTTTTGTGTATTTATTTGCGATTGTTTTTCCTTCAATTTAACTATTTCGGCTATCTAATATGCCATCGATGTTACCAAAGAGCGAAGCCCTTATTACCAAGTGCTAGTGAACCTGCGCCACAACATCCTGAGAGGATCATACTGCCAAATTATTCAAGAACACCTGATACACACTCACGCTGCATATTTACACAATATACATGTGATATACAAATAAATACAATATGATACAATTATGTGAAAAATAGTCAATAAATAAGAAGCAAAACTATAGAAAAAACTTGGTTAGGTAGAACTAACCAAGTTTTTCCTAATAGTTATTCTTTAAAATCGCACCGAATAAAATGAATTAGTTGTATTATTAATTCACTTCATACTGAGTTCATACAAAGTTCATAGGTTGACCTGTGTTTCATTGAATATTAAACATAATCTCAAAAAAAAAAAACTTTTCCTAATAATTTAAGTTCTCAGAAGTGTCCGTCAATAATATTTATTTACTTACGATTTTGAACCTAGAAAATAATTTCATAATTTCATGTCTTAGGCTAACTATGTATGGACACTGAACAATGTCCTTTAATATAAACAATAATTAAAAAGCAGAATAATTATTCTGACGATGCAGACCTGAAAAGGCTGCGAAACGTCAATAAATAAATAAAGTTTCGTGCATTAACCCGTAAAAACTAGTTTTATTTAATGAGTGATGTGCGTGAAAACCTAAGAAACAAATACAGATCTATCATATTGCAGAAAGTTCACAGTCAGAATCGAATTTTGGCATACAATAATTTTAATTTTCCTTGTATATTTACCTATGGTGACTAGCGTTTTGCCGGCAGTTGACGCGGCACGCTCGCTTTGTTCGCTCAGCTCTCGCTAAAATAAGGTTACAACACTAACCTAATCTAACCCGCTGATCACAAATACCGATTATGCTTAGCAAAATTATGCAGAATAATATTTTTTTCAAAGGTAATTAAGATTATTAAAATCTGCCATCTTAAAAGTATGCTATTGTGAATTCGGATATATAAACATTCGGCCAATTAATAATAATTATACTTAATAAAAAGTATGCCTTACAAATATTTGTTTAAAAATAATATGCCAAGTGTGTAATGCCAAATGAATTTCGGAGCAACAAGATTCTGCCTGATAGAAGGAACCCCATTGATCTAAGTCCTTATTATTAAACGTATCTAGTGACGACGTGTATTGTACACATTTATCACTCATAAATTACACTTGTGATTACTTTTGAATAGTACCTATAATTCAAAAAGTAATTTACAGGTACTGATACAGTCTTAAATACGAAGTGATTTATTTGGATAAGGATTAATATCCAGTTACGAATAATATGGCCTAGATTGTATCGGCGTTTATTTTGCATATTTTAACACAAAAAAGAAGTTATCGTAATGTGTTTTTTGTACTCAGATATTAATGTAATGTGATCTGTAAAATTGTAGTAGATCACTTTGCTATATTGTCAATAATTTCCGCCACGTACGCGACGAAAGTTTTTTTGTATTTTTTTCACGGTTACATTATTAAAGTTTTCACACAGATTCCTAAATTTTTTGAGTATAATCTACAGCTTATGTTCATCAGTGGTAACGTAGGTAGGATTCTAAATTTGAGTGAATTTTTCAAATCGGTCCAGTAGTTTCGGAGCCTATTCAATGCAAACAAACAAACAAATCTTTCCTCTATAAAATATCAGTAGGATAGATAAAGATAAGCTTTTGTTGTTGCCGGTTGTAGGTAGTGTAGGTATCTCTACCCCGTGTCGCCCTGGAATCTCCAACACCATCAACAACTAGTGTTGAATTAGGAACATTTTAATAGACTTTAAAAGAGGAGGTTCGCAATAAGTCTGCATAATATTTTATATTGTTTTTCGCGTATTTATCGGAGATTTGAGGACATTATTAATATTTTTTATCTTGTGAAGTGGTTTTTTTTAATATGAAAATATACTTTATTTAAGTAGTCTTCATAAACGGTCTTTTGAATCGTCTAATATTATTTTTTGTTGATAACTTCATATATTTGTAATGGTAGGTAATTCCATACATCTGTCTGTCGTGGAATTCGCCGGTGTGATTGTTTATTTGAAACTAGCTGACCCGGCGAATTTCGTACCGCTTACAATAATTTGGAGGAAATGAAAACGGGTAGCCCGTTTGACAGGAACACAGCTTTTACCATAGTTAGCAATTGTTTGGAGAAATCTATAGATTGATCGTTCAGCAATGTAATTCTCATACTGCCAGCTGAAAAATCACTATATTGCGCTGCAAATTTGATTAATAAAGCAAGCCCTTATTTCATTGACAGTAGTCGATCTTGGAATGACTGTTAGTGTTGGTGGAAATCCTTAGACAGTAAAATCATTCCGCCCCCCAAACAACTTAATCTAACTATTCTCAATATTTTTCTAACTAAGGCCGATATAAAGAATTATCAAACAATAATTATGCGTGTTAATTTATCGAGCGGACCTTCTTAGTAATTTTCTCACTTGAAATACAGAAGTAAGATTTTTAAAAGGGGTTAAAATTGGTTTCCATGTTTTTGCCCAATATTCTCCAAATACAGTCGACCCTTACGACTTTCTGGGAAATTAAGAGTGGTTTTATTTTTTTGAAACCCAAACCAAATACTGTTATTAATATTTATGTCACGTTGAAATAACAACTATGGTATTAATATTTACCATATTTCTACTGTCTCCATGCCAAAGCATATGCATAATTTCTGTCTCTATAGATTTGTGTATGCTATTTTCCCGTAATTATTGTGAGATTTATTTATTTATCTAGTATGTCACTGATTTGGAGTGAATGCCAAAAAAATAAGTTCAGCTTACTCATGCGTGTCGTGACGTGAGTTGTCAATTGTGGAAGATGGCGGAATCATCGGGCCGAATAAAAAATATAACTTATTAAATAATATTTTTGCGTTAACTTTATCCGTGACTTTTTAATGTTTTTCTTTCATACAAACCTTGTCCTGTCAGTAAAAAAAGAATTATCCAATTTAGTTCAGTATTTCGGAAGTGATGCGCATACATACTTTTTTTTATAGATAGGTCCGACAAATGACTCCACCCTACCTGATGTTAAGTGAAGGTGAAGTCCAGACGTGAAGATAGCTGATACAGCAGTTCTACCTGCCACACCACTCTTCGACGATTCATTTATATATATATATATAGATTTGTCTTCCAATTTTAAATCACCCCACGGATTCCGAGGTCAAAAATGAGATTTTTCGTACAGAATAGCAATACTGATCCAGCATATTATGAAAATCGAAGAAGTAACAGAAAAAGACAAAGTATTTTAAAGAGTTTCGTTGGTACTAACGAGTGATAGGCGATCTCTTGTGGCGATGTTGAGTGTCGTGCATCTGTCGAAAGGTGCCGTTGACCCGATGTAGCTCCAGGTCGTGGGGGGAGTTGAATACGCGCCCGCCCAGCCCTAGGCTGTCCAGCAGATGCTCGAAACCCTGGGTGTAACAAACATTCCTTAAATAATTGGTGCATTCAATTTTGTTTCATGGGCGTTGTATTTTACATCTGCTGCCTTGAAAGCTGCAGTAGTGTTCACTATGAAAATGCGGTTACCATACAATCAAAAGGTCTATTTATAATAAAATTTATTGAAAAGTTTAGTCAGTATCTTCTTTAAAGAATTTTGTTATTAGAGGGGCATTCCCCTTTTTTATTATAAAGTATTTATACTAATTCAGGAGAGCAGCTCGATGGCGCAAGTGGATAGAGCGGACGGCTGCGATCGTTTATGTTAAAAAATCTTTCACAGTGATCGGTCATTAGATGGGTGACCAAAATTTAATATCTCGAGTTCCTCCGTGCCTCGGAAGGCACGTTTTACCGTTAGTACACTTCAATCCGCACTGGGCCCGTGTAGTGGGTCATGGCCCAATCTCTTTATTCCTTCAATATGGAAGGCCTGTGCTCCAACAGTGGGGAGTTCAATAGGCTGGTGATGAGAAACTCCGTACTGTATACTAACTACTACTACTGTAACTCCTCGTATAGTACGTATTAGGTGATAATTATAGTCGAGTCGAAGGCAATGAATGTTAACTTGCTATGAATACCAACTTAACGCTAACTGACAATTTCGAAAATGGTCACCAGCAATATGCCCTCGATTGCAAGTACAATGACTATTGTAACTTTGCTATGATTTAACATAAATAGAGCAATATGTGTCAATTTCCTGAGAGTTCGTATTGTTTATGATAAAAGTTTTATTTATTGTATTACTATTTTAATTTTGCACATTGACAAATCATTGGTATTCGTTCTGATAAAAAAAAAACTGTTAACCGCCGTATCTATATAGTTCGGTAATTTAATCTTGACTATGTTCAATAAAAATCAAATAAAAAACGTTAATGAATTGAGCATGAAAACCTATACCTACCGTCAGTAAATGCCAAGTTGAAGGACATTTCCGAGCGGTATGTTATCATGTAAGTACCATAGCAAGGTACCAATTCACGTTTCGATGTGGCTACTAAGATTAGTTACTGTAGATATGCTATCAATTATCTTCTTATTATTACCCACTGCCGCATATAGTTTACTGAACATTATTAATTATATATACCTAATTAGGTATAGTAACTACATAATGTAATGTTGGGTCGAAATCTATAAAGTCTAGCAAATAGCGTACCTACCTAGTGTAAGCTGTGTATTTTAGATTTAGTAGTTGTGTAAGGAGACATGCAAGGCACAGTCTAAATATTAATTTGACTAAAGATTTTTTTTATGGGATCGGTTTTTATTAACATTAAATAAGCCTTTATTTTTAACTTTTTATAATCCACAATAACATCAACTTACCAGGTATAGGTGCCTGGCCGGTAATCTCTTTTTCATATTACGTAAAATAACCAAACACGATATGTGTATAGGTTTTCAATGTGGAGTTCCGTTGTTCATTTCCGAAAGTACTCATCAGATCTTTCTTAGCGAGATGGTCTCAAATTAGAGACCATCTCGCTAAGAACTTCTTACAAAGAAAAAACACATCAAAATCGATCCACTAACCTCGGAGAATGCGCGAACAACAATTAAAAAATATATAATGTCAATTTGGGAACCTCCTCCTTTTGGAAGTCGGTTACAAAAAGAAAAAAATCCTTTTAAACAAACGGTACGACTTTTGTAACATGGTATGCTTGCGACTTTGTCTGCTAGAAAATATTGATTTCCCAATTAAACTTCGAATCCCCTTTTGCAAAATCCTTTCTTAGCGCATGCCTACATTATAAAAGCTGTATTATGTACCAAGTGGTTTTGAGCTGTGCGTTGATAGATCAGTTAAACAGTAACGGTTGCCTTATAGATAGGTATACAGATATGTAGGTAAGTTAGTTTTATTAAAAACGTTATAATATATTAATTACGTTTGGCTTCACCTTCATAAGGTCTTGTAATATATTACATAATTATGGGAATGGAGCCTTCTAATGTCGATAAACAAAGAAAAGAAGGCGTAAAATAAATCAGTTGAACAGTCACGACATTTTGTATATCTGTTAATGAAATCCTAAAAAATATTATAATGTAACGAGCAAACGCGTATCGTCATCAATTATGACTGCCATATATTTGCCAATATTTGCCCGCATACTTCTGCGCTGCCTAATAGGCCCCCATTTTAGAAGAGATCGGTATGCGGACACATGGTTATATTTTCTAAGATTAAAAACGAATCGAATGCAGTTATTCTGAAGTCGATCAAGTTTATTGAGTAGATCCGCATTCAGAACGAGGTAGCACACATCACCATAGTCGATTATAGGAAAAATCAAAGTTTGATGCATGCAGCATTGCCTTGATGCTGATCGGCAAAAAATTCTTGAAGAGGTAGAGAGCACGTAATGTTCCAGTTACATTTTGACAGACACTACTTACGTGATCCTGCCATTTGAAACTTCAGTCATACAATCCGAGATTATTTGCAACTTTACTGAAAGGTATCATAGAAGATGGACCCAAGATTGATGTTGTCAATTCTGCTTATTATTCTTGATCCACCCATTAATATAGCTTGACATTAAGCAGCATTGATGGTGACACCAAAATTGTCTGACCATGTTTTGATAACGTTTAAGTCACTGTTTATCGTTTCAATAACATTGTTTAAATCGTCATTACTCGATTCGGTGTATTATTGTAGATCGTCAGCATATAGATGATACGAACAGTAAGTTTAAGAGTGATAAAATCAATAAAATTATAAAAAAAGAGGAGAAAGTATACCGCCTTGGGGAACACCAGTTTCCAAATTGACCCAGGATGAGGACAATTCCCCAGACTGCACCAACTGCTGGCGATCCGGAAGATGAGATGAAAACTAAGTCAACACTTTGTCTGAGACCATAAGTTGGGATAGTATGGAAGCAAAGTGTCATTAAATATATTTACTTTATCATCAACAGTAACAGCTTGAATAAAAGTCCATACGTGCGAAAGAGCGCCTGTCCTTGGGAGAGGATTTGGAAGGTTTAAAGAAATATCATTCGCGGTGAGTCCCCAAAAGGGATTTACTAGAGATTTCGTATTTTTTTTTGCGCAATTTCCTTATTTTCCTTTCTTACCAATTTTTCAAAAGCTCTCCCTGTGTACTTCGTACCGCCATAAAAAATAGGGTTTGGTGGTAGAAGTGTGAAAATTTAGGGTTGTATGTATATTTGTATATCATATTAGTCATAAAAATTAAAAAAATCTCCTAAAAACAAAAAAAATTAGGGTGGACCGCCCTTAACATTTAGGAGGATGAAAAATAGATGTTGTCCAATTTTCAGACCTACTGAATATGGATATAAAATTTCACGAAAATCGGTCGAGCTGTTTCGGAGTAGTTCAATTACGCACACTGTGTCACGAGAATTTTATATATTAGATAGAAAAACTTTTAAAAAAGATGGATGAATTCGGTAATGTCGTTTTCAAGTTGTTGTCCAACGGAAGCAAATGGGGATTCATTGTTGTATTTAATGTAATGTACTTCAAATAAAGAAATAAAATGATAATTCATTATTTTATGGTGGAAACCGCTTCAAAATCCGTTGCGTGGTTTATAAACAGCTGGTGGATATACAGACGGATGCGGAAAGCAACTTTTTTAATACTATTTATGCATAGTTAATGGATTAACATTGTTTGTTGGCTTCGCATGTGCAGTAATTACAAATTGTTTAAATAGAAATACAACGCGCAGATACAAAAGTAGTAGATATTCCCTAAAACTTGGATAAAACTGTCACTGACAACCAATGTAAATTTGATTGGGTTTTGCAATGTTTTTCTTGTTTCACCTATAATGAGGTTGCAAACAAGCATGATTATGGTAAGCAGCTGGCAAAGCTAATGGGTAGTAATGTAACTGCTCTATTGTATTAGGTTATACATGTAATGATAGATGCAAGTGATTATTAAATAAATAAATAGCCTAATGATGTTAAGAATTTTAGCTGGTATCACTTCCGCCCTACATACCCCGACCTGCATACTTACAGAGAGAAACACAAGACAAACAACCACCAAAAGGTAGTGTTATATCGCACATTGATAAGAAGAGTGTCACTAAGCAAAAAAGCTATTTTTTCAGTAGAAGCATTTAAAGTTTTACCAAACAGTAATTACGACTTTTGCGCCAGAAAGAATAAAAAATCAACATCATGATATGATTTCTATTGCAGAGAGCATTAAACACGATTACAAAAGTCGTAATTACTGTTTGGTAAAACTTTAAATGCTTCTACTGAAAAAATGCTTTTTTGGTTAGTCTCATTCTTCTTATCAATGTGCGATATGACTGATATCATAGTGGTCCTCTGTGAGGTGGAACTTACTTCCCCAGGCCTCCAATGCCATACATCTTTTACTAATCTGCAAATAAATACGTGATTCAAAAACAAGGCCCTAGGGTTTTAATGAAGCTCAGAAAATATAGTATTAATACCAGCGAAAACACTTCAGATTCTGAGATAATACTATCAACAAAAGGCATCGTGTTAGTCTATACAATATTTCCTTCATAACTGTAGTAAGTTTACATGATTATATCAGAATGCACTTTAGGTACCTTTATAAATTCTACAATTTAAACATTTCCTTTTATGTAGTAACATTATGTAAAGTATCCTTCACAAAACCCGCGGAAATCCATGAAACAGCATTGTTGTCAAAGTGAATTTTAAATGTGTTGCCGCTGTTTGAATATTATGTACATGGTAATATTTTTAAAATGCTTAAATGTTTCAGGATGAACTCGAATCCAGTATCTTTCACGTATATTTAAGTAAAATTTTAATATTTAAATATAATTAAAAACGAACAATATCCACTTCTTTCGTAATAAAACGTATAAGTTTTGTTGCATCATCATTAATGTATCATGTTATCTCTTTAACCATAGCCATGGAGGAAAAATCAAACAATACAGTGCAACCTTAATATAACG